TGTACCTAGGTGGGTGTTGGACTTCCCACCACTCAGTTTCTTTTGGCACAGGTTGCAAATGGTATCGCTGTTGTCAGAGGCAGACACACACAAAAAATTCCACACTGCTGAGCTCTGCAATGACGGCATTCTGGTGGTGGACACAGCATGCGTTGATTGGCGTGCTGTCGGGCTGACCCCTGGTGTCGATGCATGCTGTCTGACTGTGCCACTAGCTCCTTGCGACGACCTTCCCCTGCTTCCAACTCGTCTCCTCCTCCTCCCTGTCTCCCCATCTGAACTTTCGCCTGTTCTTCTTCTTGACGAGCGGGCACCCACGTGACATCCATGGACGCATCGTCATCATCAACCGCTTCACTTGTATCTGACAACTCAGCAAAGGAAGCAGCAGCGGGTACAACATCATCATCATCATCACACCGCACGTCCATGTGTGTAATGCTGCCTGCCTGAGACATATCCCTGTTATCTACATCCTCTGGCAATAATGGTTGCGCATCACTCATTTCTTCAAACGGATGTGTGAATAACTCCTCTGACATACCAACTGAAGCGGCTGTGGTGCTAGTTTTGGTGGTGGCGGCAGGCGGGTGAGTGGTATCTGGAGAGGTGCCTGAAGCTAAGCTGGAGAAGGATGGTGCGTCAAGGTTCTGAGCGGAGGCTGTAGAAGATTGGGTGTCCTGTGTTAGCCAGTCAACTATGTCCTCAGAACTTTTCAAGTTCAGGGTACGTGGCCTCTGAAAACTGGGCATTATTCTAGGGCCAAAGGAATCACAGCACCACGACCACGATGGCCCCTGCGGGGTGGCCTGCCTCTGCCTGTCATTTTTGTTGGGATTAGTGGTACTATGCGTGCAAGCTACTGTGAGACCAGATATGAGTGGCAATGCGCACTGGCACAGTTGTGCAGAGCACAGGCTGTAGGCCTGACACCCGCTTGAAGATAACTAACTGCTATTCAATCTATAACAGTGAAAAAAAGATTATTTTTTAAATCCAAACTATTGTGACACCAGATCTAATTAGTGTAATTGGTCAGCGTGATTCACTGTTAGCGTAATACACCATGCAGGACACAATTGACTGCTAAAACAATCTATAACAGTGGAAAAAAAGTGTTTTGTTTTTTAAATCCAAGCCATTGTGACAATTCAGATCTAATTAGTGGCAGTCTGGTCAGCGATTCACTGTTAGCGAATACACCCGCTTTAAATACCTGACTGCTATTCAATCTTATAACAGTGAAAAAAGATTATTTTTTAAATCCAAAACTATTGTGACACCAGATCTAATAGTGGCAATTGGTCAGCTTATCCACTGTTAGCGTAACACACCCCCTTTAAGGACACTGACTGCTATTCAATCTATAACAGTGAAAAAAGAGTTTTTTTTTTTTAAATCCAAGCTATTGTGACACCAGATCTAATTAGTGGCACTAGTCAGCGTATCCACTGTTAGCGTAACACACCCGCTTTAAGGACACTGACTGCTATTCAATCTATAACAGTGAAAAAAGTGTTTTGTTTTTTTAAATCCAAGCTTTGTGTCACTAGATCTAAGTGGTGGCACTGGTCACCGTATCCACTGTTAGCGTAACACACCCGCTTTAAGGACACTGACTGCTATTCAATCCATACCAGTGAAAAAAGTGTTTTGTTTTTTTAAATCCAAGCTTTGTGTCACCAGATCTAATTGGTGGCACTGGTCACCGTATCCACTGTTAGCGTAACACACCCGCTTTAAGGACACTGACTGCTATTCAATCTATAACAGTGAAAAAAAGATAATTTTTTTTTTAAATCCAAACTGTGACACCAGATCTAAATAGTGGCACTGGTCAGCGTATCCACTGTTAGCGTGAATACCCGCTTTAAGGACAATTGACTGCTATTCAATCTTATAACAGTGAAAAAAAGATTATTTTTAAATCCAAACTATTGTGACACCAGATCTAATTAGGCAAGTAATTGGTCAGCGTGATCCACTGTTAGCGTAACAACACACCCGCTTTAAGGACACTGACTGCTATTCAATCTATAACAGTGAAAAAGTGTTTTGTTTTTTAAATCCAAGCTTTGTGTCACCAGATCTATTTAGTGGCACTTGTCAGCGTATCCACTGTTAGCGTAACACACCCGCTTTAAGGACACTGACTGCTATTCAATCTTTAACAGTGAAAAAAGATTATTATTTTTTTTAAATCCAAACTATTGTGAGACAGGATCTAATTAGTGGCACTTGTCAGCGTATCCACTGTTAGCGTAACACACCCGCTTTATGGACACTGACTGCTATTCAATCTATAACAGTGAAAAAAGATTATTTTTTTTTTAAATCCAAACTATTGTGACACCAGATCTAATTAGTGGCACCGGTCAGCGTATCCACTGTTAGCGTAACACACCCGCTTTAAGGACACTGACTGCTATTCAATCTATAACAGTAAAAAAAGTTTTTTGTTTTTTTAAATCCAAACTATTGTGACACAGGATCTAATTAGTGGCACTTGTCAGCGTATCCACTGTTAGCGTAACACACCCGCTTTAAGGACACTGACTGCTATTCAATCTATAACAGTAAAAAAAGTTTTTTGTTTTTAAATCCAAGTTATTGTGACACAGGATCTAATTAGTGGCACTTGTCAGCGTATCCACTGTTAGCGTAACACACCCGCTTTAAGGACACTGACTGCTATTCAATCTATAACAGTGAAAAAGTGTTTTGTTTTTTTAAATCCAAGCTTTGTGTCACCAGATCTAATTGGTGGCACTTGTCAGCGTATCCACTGTTAGCGTAACACACCCGCTTTAAGGACACTGACTGCTATTCAATCTATAACAGTGAAAAAAGAGGTTTTTTTTTTTTAAATCCAAGCTATTGTGAAACCAGATCTAATTAGTGGCACTGGTCAGCGTATCCACTGTTAGCGTAACACACCCGCTTTAACGACACTGACTGCTATTCAATCTATAACAGTGAAAAAAGTGTTTTGTTTTTTTAAATCCAAGCTTTGTGTCACCAGATCTAATTGGTGGCACTGGTCACCGTATCCACTGTTAGCGTAACACACCCGCTTTAAGGACACTGACTGCTATTCAATCTATAACAGTGAAAAAGATTATTTTTTTTTTAAATCCAAGCTATTGTGACACCAGATCTAATTAGTGGCACTGGTCAGCGTATCCACTGTTAGCGTAACACACCCGCTTTAAGGACACTGACTGCTATTCAATCTATAACAGTAAAAAAGTTTTTTGTTTTTAAATCCAAGCTATTGTGACACCAGATGTAATTGGTGGCACTGACTGGGGAAATGGGTACAGTATGCACTGTGAGCCTGACACAGAAGCTGGCAGCAGTGGCAGACAACTGACTGCTATTCAATCTATAACAGTGAAAAAGTTTTTTGTTTTTAAATCCAAGCTATTGTGACACCAGATGTAATTGGTGGCACTGACTGGGGAAATGGGCACTGTGAGCCTGACACAGAAGCTGGCAGCAGTGGCAGACAACTAAGTGCATTTACATTAGATAGAAAAAAAAATCCAAAAAAAGCATACCCTTATCCCTAACCTAGCTATGCTTTTCCCTATCTTATGAACAGCAGCTACACTTTCCCTCCTCTTACTAAGCATGCAGCTTGAGAATGAATCTAAAATGGATGCCGTCCAGTAGGTGGGAGGGTCTGCTAGGGAGGCTGTGCTGCTAATTGGCTGGAATGTGTCTGCTGACTGTGAGGTACAGGGTCAAAGTTTACTCAATGATGACGAATAGGGGGCGGGTCGAACCGCGCATATGTTCGCCCGCCGTGGCGAACGCGAACATGCTATGTTCGCAAGGAACCGTTCGCCGGCGAACCGTTCGGTACATCACTAGTCATGAGATGTTATTTTTTATTATTCTTTGATGACGGGGTTTTTTTTTGCACATTTTCAAATGACAGATTGCTTCCAAAGTAAATGGCGGCATGATGTAATTTAAAGGGACACTATAGGCAACAAGACCACGTCATCTCACTGAAGAGGTCTGAGTGCAGTGTCCCTGTTCCCTTAGCCCTGCTGTGTAAAACATGGCAGTTTTAGAGAAACTGTAATCTTTGCACTGCAGGGGTAAGACTGTCTCTGGTGGCTGTCTACCAGGCAACCCTACAGGCGCGTCCTCAGTTACACTGAGTTTTACTCAGTGAAACGACAGTGAACGTCCTCACACTTTTTTTATGAGGATGTCCAGTGTGTTGAAAAAAAAACTAGTAAAGTACTGAGTAAATGCTTTCCTACAGGGAAGGACGAATGCGCGCGTGGTGATCGTCGTGCATGTGCATTTGGTTAATCCCCCCATCGGCTGATGTATGCGGAGGAGGATCCCAACCCAGCACCGAGTGACACCGTCGCAGGCATCAGACAGGTATAAAAACGTTTTGTTTTTGTTTTTACTTTTTTTTTTTAAATGGGGGGGAGAGGGGTTGCAGAGATTTCCTATAATGATAGAAATTCAGCTTTGTATACTTTTAAGTATTTACAACTGCCAAATGGATAAATAGACAAAAACCTCTAACAAAATTAAACAAATCATAAATATAAGAAGTGGAAATATGTTTTTATTTATTGATTATTGCAGCACATTTAGATTCACTGTTAGCCATCTATTAAAAATAAGGAGTTTAAACATAACACAAAAGATAAAATATCATTGCATATAATATATTATTTAAATCCCGTTAATAAATTTGTTTGAAGATGAAGCCATAAAATCTTTCCCCATTTGCCGGCTATATAAAGATTCTACAGAACGCGTTTCCTAATGTCCTGAAATCATTTCCGCTCCAAATTGTTTTATTCTCAAAAGGTCCTAAATCCCCAAGTGAATGTCTAAAGAAGGATTTTAATCAATTTCCAGACATCAAAGGGAATTACTACTGAACAGCACAGTATCAAATCTAAAAAGTTTAGTGCATAAAATATTAAACAAATAATGTTTTACATTTAATTACCTTAAACTTCATTTTATTTGCATTTATTATTATTCTATAACCCTTTGGTCTGCATTGGCAATGCAGTTTGCAAAGTTCGATGGCCGTGCTGATGATTTATATTATTCTACAGGGAGTGCAGAATTATTAGGCAAGCTGTATTTTTGAGGATTAATTTTATTATTGAACAACAACCATGTTCTCAATGAACCCAAAAAACTCATTAATATCAAAGCTGAATATTTTTGGAAGTAGTTTTAGTTTGTTTTTAGTTATAGCTATGTTAGGGGGATATCTGTGTGTGCAGGTGACTATTATTGTGCATAATTATTAGGCAACTTAACAAAAAACAAATATATACCCATTTCAATTATTTATTATTACCAGTGAAACCAATATAACATCTCAACATTCACAAATATACATTTCTGACATTCAAAAACAAAACAAAAACAAATCAGTGACCAATATAGCCACCTTTCTTTGCAAGGACACTCAAAAGCCTGCCATCCATGGATTCTGTCAGTGTTTTGATCTGTTCACCATCAACATTGCGTGCAGCAGCAACCACAGCCTCCCAGACACTGTTCAGAGAGGTGTACTGTTTTCCCTCCTTGTAAATCTCACATTTGATGATGGACCACAGGTTCTCAATGGGGTTCAGATCAGGTGAACAAGGAGGCCATGTCATTAGATTTTCTTCTTTTATACCCTTTCTTGCCAGCCACGCTGTGGAGTACTTGGACGCGTGTGATGGAGCATTGTCCTGCATGAAAATCATGTTTTTCTTAAAGGATGCAGACTTCTTCCTGTACCACTGCTTGAAGAAGGTGTCTTCCAGGAACTGGCAGTAGGACTGGGAGTTGAGCTTGACTCCATCCTCAACCCGAAAAGGCCCCACAAGCTCATCTTTGATGATACCAGCCCAAACCAGTACTCCACCTCCACCTTGCTGGCGTCTGAGTCGGACTGGAGCTCTCTGCCCTTTACCAATCCAGCCACGGGCCCATCCATCTGGCCCATCAAGACTCACTCTCATTTCATCAGTCCATAAAACCTTAGAAAAATCAGTCTTGAGATATTTCTTGGCCCAGTCTTGACGTTTCAGCTTGTGTGTCTTGTTCAGTGGTGGTCGTCTTTCAGCCTTTCTTACCTTGGCCATGTCTCTGAGTATTGCACACCTTATGCTTTTGGGCACTCCAGTGATGTTGCAGCTCTGAAATATGGCCAAACTGGTGGCAAGTGGCATCGTGGCAGCTGCACGCTTGACTTTTCTCAGTTCATGGGCAGTTATTTTGCGCCTTGGTTTTTCCACACGCTTCTTGCGACCCTGTTGACTATTTTGAATGAAACGCTTGATTGTTCGATGATCACGCTTCAGAAGCTTTGCAATTTTAAGAGTGCTGCATCCCTCAGCAAGATATCTCACTATTTTTGACTTTTCTGAGCCTGTCAAGTCCTTCTTTTGACCCATTTTGCCAAAGGAAAGGAAGTTGCCTAATAATTATGCACACCTGATATAGGGTGTTGATGTCATTAGACCACACCCCTTCTCATTACAGAGATGCACATCACCTAATATGCTTAATTGGTAGTAGGCTTTCGAGCCTATACAGCTTGGAGTAAGACAACATGCATAGAGAGGATGATGTGGTCAAAATACTCATTTGCCTAATAATTCTGCACTCCCTGTATAGAAAACAAACAGTCTGGTATTGCAAAAGAATAAAGAAATATGCATCAGCACAGTTATCCCAGCTCATCATCCATAAAGACTCAGGGCGTCATGACAAAGTGTAAGTGAGTGATGCCCTCTTCCCATATCGGGTACATGGGATACCTCATTAAAAAAATGCCCTATGTACTGCATTTCAGGGAACTGAAAATCGTCCATTGTGCTTAGAACCTATTGTTCCATTGGTATGCTTAGGCCTGCTTGGTTTATCCCATAACGTAATTATTAATTTAACATCCAAAATGCTTCAGTAGGGAGCTTATTCCATGAAAATACTGGAACCAGGGTCAGACCAGTGCATGTATGTATGTATGTATCTATATCTAAATGGACTTTGCATTAAAGGAATACTATAGGGTCAGGAACACAAACATGTGTAGTGTTAAAAATGCCATCTAGCCCTCCTGGCTCTCCTTGCCCACCTAAATATAGTACATTCTTACCTTTATTCCAGTCTGCTGCTGCTGGCTATGCCCCTGTTCTCTATCCTTGGCTGACATCATCAGAGGTGGTTATCTTAGCCAATCCAATGCTTTCCCATTGGAAAGCACTGGATTGGCTGAGACTGTCAATGAGGCAGATCAGGGACAGAGGCAGTACAAGCCAAACATAGCCCTGTCCAATCAGCACATCCTTATTGAGATGCACTGAATCAATGCATCTCTATGAGGAAAGTTCAGTGTATCCATGCAGAGGGGGGATACACTGAATGGCAGTCACACTGTGCAGCACTGCCCCAGGAAGCACCTCTAGCAGCCAACTCAGGAGTGGCCAGTGGATGTATCCATAGGCTGTAATGTAAAAACTGCTTCTCTTACTTTATGACTGAAAATATCAAAGTCATGAAATCACAGTCATAGACCAAACAAATATGCAAATTAGAATAAACAATTTTAATCCTGTTTCTACTTTAAAATGCAGCCTGGTGAATGTAATAGGATTAAGAATATAAATTTGTGCATATGAATGTGAACAAAATTAAAATGCTGAGATTCTTCCAAACAAGGCCCTGGGGAGTCAGCACAGCTAAATGTACGAGGGCACATGTATGAGTGTGGGGATGGTGCTAGTGACTGGCTGTATGTGTTTAGGGGAGTGGTTATGTGTTTGTAGTGGGACAGGGATCATCTTACCTCAGTGCCTGTTTGGATTCTGGCCAGCAAACAACTTCCCTCCCAACTAATTTATGTTTTTTGTTTCGTCACAGCTAGCGGTGAGCGTGTCCTTGCCAACAAGGTTGGGGAGCAGATGGAATGTCGGGAGATGGACAAGGTGGGTCTCAACCTCCCCTGCTCTGTAAGGTAAACTTTCAAGTTACCGAATTGGACGTGCCCACCGAGCTAAGAGCCGTCTGTTGGTTAGAACATTTAAGATGATGGGAATTTGGTTTGGATGAGGGGGGAGGCGAGACACCAGTTAATTATGGTATGTATATATATTTATGTGTTTATTTATATTGGAATTAAAGGAAAAGAATAAAGTTCGGATGTGTCCTACAGTTGTATGTTTTAATAAATGATGTGGCCTGTTTCATCCAATATGCATTGTCTGTCATTATTGGGGGTATAAGTGGGTAGTCTCTTTCTTTTAGTCGCACCACATTCCCCGCTTCGTACATACATGTTTGTGTGTGTTTCTGTCTGTATGTGGAAGTCTGTGTGGTGGGGGTGCAGTGTGCAGTGCACTATAGGTGCACAAAAACAAACAACAAAAAGTATGCTCAAATCCAGAAGTAGACATAAAAACACAAACATTTAAAGGGACCAAAATAACTATAGCATAATAAAGCAGTGCTTCTTTAGGTTGTTTTAAAACCTATATTATCCATTTAAGTAGCAAAACAACAAAAAGGCTTAATGGAGAAAAGAGAGAGGAAAAAAAGCAGAGCAGGATTAAGGAACAAAGAAACCCTTAGATGCAGCATAGAAAGGGTACTATTGAACAGGCAGATTTTGAGTAAAAACTTGTCCTTACGTGTTTCCTAGAACAGTACTTTGCCAAAGATCTAATAGAAGCTACAGTTCCATAAATGCCAGTAGCTTAATGGAATTGTATTGAGTACAGATGTCCTCATTTCTCTCTCAAGCTTATTAGGCTGTGTAAAGTGTAGCAATGCAGACTGTGCCAATCTACATGGAGATAGCATGCCGTTCATTCTGCAATGTGTTTACATGTCCTGCTTCTTCAATCTGGACTTTAAAGAACAAGAACTCCGACATCAGGGAAAGTGTCGTTTACACGAACTGCTTACCTATTGTTTCTCGTACAATGGGAACATTTTTTTTTTTTTTTAAAGTTCAGGAATTTCTATGTATGAAATCAAAACAAGCCATGGAAAATGTACGAACCACAGGGATATTTTAGTACATGACGGACAGTGTGAATATAAAGGTTGACTCATGACAGAATCAAAACATAATCCAAAATGAAATTAGTTTATTTTATTAGCGAGCTTTCAATGTGTGACTGAGTCAACTTTCAGGTATTATCTTGAGGTCTTACCACGTTCTCGTAGAATACAACAGATCATATTCAAAATATACTTTTAAAGGGATACATGAAATTCTCTAATGTTTCTATAAAAATAAAAAAAATCTCACTTTTCATTAAAACAAAGTTCCTTAAAATGGCAAGTTTGTGTCTTCTTTCAGATAAGATTGTAGGTAGAGGGTAAATGGAAATCTCCAAAGTAGGCTTTGATTGGCCAATCGTTTATCTTACAATCTGTGCTGGGTGCACCACTAAATTCTAGACGTCTAGTGATATATATCTGCCTACCTCAAATACCTCTAGATTGTAAACTCATTTGAGTGTGTTAATATTTACACAGAGTTTAATTTTCTCTCATGTATTTTGACCAATTGATGCCTTATTTACAAGTAAATTTATATGAGGAATGATATTGATATTTAGCCATACATATAATCTGTTTTTCTATTTACATTTTGATTCAACTCATCTCACATGAGTATGGTTATCTTCTATTTTTTTTTTTTTTTTAAGAAAACGGTCTCAAAAAAGGATCTAAGCCTGGCCCTCAACACAATCCCAAAGGAACACACTGTGCCAGTATCTGTAATGGAACAGAGTAGGGTAATCCCTGAATCCTAGATGACTTGGCTGAGATCCACTCGTCTAGGGGATGAGCAAATATGCATACGTATATACTATGGCATTAGTGATGCAAACACCAATTCCAAACACTATAGTGT